CACACCCAAGCCCCAACCCTCTGGACCCGAACTGCCCCAAACCCCTGGAGCTAAAGCGGAACTGCCCCAAACCCCTGCGGCATCCACTGAGGCGAAACGGCCCCAACAAGCCAATGCCACATCTGTGGAGAGGCAAAAGGCTAGCACTGTCAGGTGGCAGTTCCGAATCTGAACCATAAGCCTCTTGTGATACAAGTCGGCACCTGTCACCCCACAGTGCTGACCTTCATTGACCAGAAGCTTTTGATTGTATATAAACTTCATGAGGTCCCTCCACTAACGCCAAACGGATCCAGAGCCCCATCAGGAGTCCACGTCCACGAACGCCAGGTTGCACTACTCATACTAACCCTCTAGCTAGCTACTGGTCACATGATGGGTCTGGATCATTACATCTAGGGATTAAAAGGTTACCTAAACTCCGCCTCGCGACTAGATGCATCATCATCATCACCACCGAGTGGTTGCTTCCCCTTCCGCTTCTTGGCTATCCGTCGATGACGAGGTCTCTGGGGAAGAAGTGGAGAATCATCACTCTCCTCATCATGTTGGTCCTCCTCATCCTCATGAGCACGCTTGTTCTGTTCATTGCGTTGCAAAGGCTTGAGCTTCAGCTTTTCCGTAGGATCCAGAATGAGTAAGTGGCTTGCAAAATCAACACTGGCAGCGTCTGTCCTGCGGAATCTGGTGATCCAAGACACCAGTTTATCGTACAAGATACAAACATTTGGAGTCCAATTGCCTTGTGGCTTTCCAATCCTACCCCAAAAGTAATAAGCAGAGTGGTTCTTTTCCTTCACTTTGGTTAGCTCAGCCATGGCCCCCTCAGAATCCATTTAGGTCTTCAGGCAAGCTTCGGTTACGCGCTGGATAATCACCAGATACATCAATGTCAAGTCTCTTGGAAGGCAGATATCTCGTAGGAGCAGGAGTTTTTTCTTCAATGCTTTGTGTGCACTCTCACGGGTACATCTACTGTTCTGCTTTTGTGTGTCCTTGGACTGCTCCATGGTTCTGACATTCTTCACCAAGAATGCACGGCATAACAACTTGAAGACCACATAAGAGGGTTCATCAGAGGCTGGAAACTTGTTTGATTCCACCACTTCGAGAAAGGTCTTCATGTGCTGGGCAATCTCTACCATGTTCCATCCTTCCTTTTTCAATATTTCCTCCTTCAACACACCTGAAAGCAACAAGGAAATCCAGGTAGGGTTAGTTCGTTACAGACACTGGACTGGCTGGATCCATATGGCCCCAACAGGCTAACTTACTCGCAATACCTTTGGACAATGTTTCCTCGAATTCCAACCGCATGGACTTCACTACATTGTAGTACCGAATGTCTTCCTCTCGAGATGATGCATTCTGGAGTGGCCAATGGTGATTTTGATAATCTAACACACCCATAGGGGGCAAATTCTTCCCCGAGTCCGAACCGAATATTTCTTGGCCCTTTCTGCCTCTTAACTTAAAGTTTCCACCTCCACGGGTTGTTACTTTTTCACGGGAAGCCGAACACCGAAGCGCTTCCCCTCTGAATCTGTCACTACAAGAACAACAACACTAATAGCAACAAATGCAACCAATCGGTCATACCTATACCATTACACTACCTATTAGACCCATCGGAAGCATTGAAACGAAGCGAAAGGACCTCAGGAAGCTTGTTATCTGTTATTTTGTTGAAGAGTACTGTTTTACTATAGGATTCAACTCAACGTCATCACGGAAAACACACATCCTTTCTCCTCTCTTTATCCCTCTTTCAAGCCCCTCTAGTCAACAGGATCGATACCTCCTATCTCCTGCACCTCTACTATCAAGCGACTATCAATCCGGCCTTCTCCGGTTCAGATCAGAAAGCCATCCCAATAGAAATCCCACGAGATCGGGCGGGTTTTCTCTTCTCGGCCGCCGCCGACCAAGTTGGAAGAATTTGACAACAAGAAGAAGTCTCCAGTCTTCCACAGCACAGTACAGAAAACAATTCCCATACGTATTTGTTGTTTTCTGAACTAAGCTCCTGACGACCGACGAAATCCCATTATCGCCCTTTTCGTACGATCGAACGATCTTTCCGCAGCAACAACAGGTTCAGTTAACCTTACCCCTAAGGCAACTGACTCACCCGAATCGCGAATCGAAGCGATTCAACGAATCGAACCGATTCAACGAATCGAACCGAATCCAAGACTCGCTACTCCGTGAATCGATCAATCTTCCCGCGACCGTACCTCTCCTCCGTACCGTACCTCTTCCTCCGTACGCAGCCTACTATCATCAAGCAGGACTTCACGAGATACCTGCAGTGACCATGGAGAACAGAAACACAGCTGTATTTCTTACTCTCTCACCGGCCACTCTGGGTTTCTCCCGACGTCCTTGTTGGAACTGATACTTCCTGCCACCAATCCCCCATTGATATCTAACTCCTCTCCCAGAGGAACAACAAACAACAACAGAGTTCCTGTAAGGATTTCAGCTGTTATAGGCTTGGCTGCACTTTCATCATTTTGACAGCCCCTCCCTGAGATAACCAGCTCCTCTCCAAAGGATCTCACCCCCACAAGAACAAACTACAAAAGCTGCCCCTCTAGTGTATCTTTCTAGATTGTGCAACACTTCATTGACACAGCCACCTCTCTGCTACTGCACCTGACTCTCCTACTGAGTGTGGAGCTCCAAAGGATTGAGCCCCAGACAGAACTGCAGCGTGGTGTGGCATAGATATTAATACATAACTGACTCTTTCTCCCTCTCATTGATTGTTGAGTGACTCTCCAGTGACTATTTCCCAGTTCCACCTGAATCGAGTACCCTCTCCACATCTTGGCTTGACTCTCTGTTGCATTCCCTACAACAGATTGAGTACCAGCCTTTGAGACAACACAGTGCCAGTAACACAGCCCCATCAACCAACAACACCCCTTGATCCCCCACCACTACCTCTACTGACTATAGCGTGACTTCTCCAGTTTTCCCTGAAAGAATCCCTAACAGTCTTTGGCTCTGATCCCATATTCTCCTACAGGTAGTGGTATACCTCCACTAATTTTGCCACACCCTTGGAGTCCATGGCCAACAACAACCGCAACAACTCCTGATCTAGCACCTTGATTACCAGTGCGTCAGTGCATTGGCCCTTGAATAAACCCTTCTACATCAATCATCTCGCCACCTAACAAGCAACCTCCATTGCTTCAGTTGAAGCAACGACAGCATGGCCGAAGCGACAGATCAGAAATCTCTAGTCTCTCGGCAGTCCTCCAGGATAACACCCCCTTCCACCAAGCCCAACCTCCACCCACCATGACTTTCCCATGTCTACCCACAACCTCACTCAAACCCAAGGTCCTCTCAGACATTCCCCCACTCCTACACTTCAACCAACCAACCACATCCACCATCCCCCACAGACTACACAACACCACACACCCAGATTGATCAGCCAACACTCCTAGAGGCATGCAGCCCATCTTGAAAGGATCACCCCTTTTAGATTTTATCCCGAACAAAGAGGATCACACCCTTCCGAATCACACCCTACCCTATCAGGGAGGATGCCTTTGTCCTCACCCTTGAACAGAGGCATGCCTCTATCCTTCACCACACCATCAACCATGCTACCTCCCAACTCCTCCAACAACACTCCAACACCACCAGGATCCCCCCTCCTGCTCCTGGCACCAGTCCACTCCCAGTGCCCCCTTATCCTCCTTCCATTGACTCAACAACCCCTCAAACATCCCTCAACACTCCAGCAGCCACTGTGTCTCCCTCCTGGGAACCACAGACTGCCAGTGTGTCATTTGACCCCATCTTTTGCCTGCTTGTTGGTCTCTATCTAACAATCTTTGTGCATTGGATGGGTTATACCCTGCTCTGGTCCAGCCTGAGGAGTACCACCTCCTACGGGCTCTGCTGGCATTTTGCCTTGCATGCTAAGGCAATAGCCACAGCTTGGGACCTGATCACCCAGACACACTTACTGGCGAGCACTCTTTGGTCTGGCAATCTATCTGGTCCTCACGGCCCCTTTGGTGACAATGGTTTCAATACCGACAAAATCCTGTGTAAGCCCCTGTAACCCAGGTTTTGCGCTGCAGGTTTTCTATCAATGTGCTCACCCCCCTACCCAGGGCATCTGTCTACTTGGTGCTGGCTCCACGTTGGGCCAGTGGATGAGGTTATGTTGATTGGGCAAACAAACTAGATGACGACTCAGCTAGGTGGGGGCCTCCCCCATCCATTGCCCGCGTCAATAAAGTCACTCCGTGGCCAATAGCTTGTTAAGCTAATGAGTAATTTACACCCCTTCCACCTCCACAGGTTGCAAACTGGCTACCTTGTTTTTCAGTCTCAGTTTCTCCTTTTCGCATCCTACTACCTTGTGTGAAAGGAATCCCACCAACTGGCAGAGTTGGTCAGTGCTCGCTGCACCCGTGGATACTGTGTGGTGTGCATCGGAATTGATGGGGTCATCGTCCAAACGATTTGCAACCTCTCTCAGATCTGTGGCCAACCTAACCATTTTCTTGTAGTCGAACTTTCTGACTTTGCTGTGACTAAGATGTGCCTGAAGGGAGCCTTCGGGGAATCCACCAGTCAAGTCCAATAGGGCCTGGTGGAGACACTGAGGAGATTTACCTCAGTCCCTCCCGACTTTAATTGTGAAGCATTTATTTAAGCCTTTTCTACCAAGGCTACACAAAAAGTAGTAACTTAGACAAACACGCAGGAGTAAGATTTGATGAACGCAAACCACAATACTACTATTTTACTATACGTCTGTACCATGGATTATAAATATATTACATTATTCCTTTTTTATTATTATGCCTTGAAACGCCTTCAAAGGAAGCACATGTGTCAAGAACTATTGAAATATACACTATTACTATACAAAATATTCAATGCAAGATTCGAAATTGGGGCATATATCTCCGAGGGCACCATTACTAACGCCTGCGCAGGATTCCCATTCTTACTGGGTGGAATAGATATATGCCAAAACACGAATTCTGCATAAGCACGCCATTGCACCCCTTAGCAACATTCGCTATATAAAGTACTGTACTCATCTACCTACTAGTGACTTCACGAATTTGCTACTGTTTTACTATATGTTTTGAGAGACCCTGAAACGCACGCGATGTTACACGTATAACTCGTATCACTCGTATCACTCGTATAACTTGTATCACTTGTATAACAGGTGTAACACTCGTATAACAGGTGTAACACGTCTTACATGTGGAATACGTATAACACATATAACACGCGCGCCAGCCAGCCACCGTGACCGTTCGAGTTTCGCAAAATGACTTGACTTCAACTCCAACTTGACTTCAACTCCAACTCCAATCTCCACCACAAAGAACCACCATGACAACAACCTCTCTTCTCTTGTTTGTTTGAAGGATACAAAAGTTTCTCTTGTTATTTGAAGATAGCACCATCATTGTGGGTAAGTAGGCAATGTGGTATGGCTTTGTTGAAGCCAAGAAGACTGTTCCTGTGGAAAGATAGAATGATTTCTCTTCATTCAACTCATTCTCCATTTTTCTGCCTCCACTCTCTTCCTCAGGCCCTGTACAGCCTTCAGGACCATTCTCTTTGCATTCATATACTTCTGAAGGCTCACTGACAAAGCCTGTGGAAGACCTGGCCTTGAATTCTACCATTGTCAACCACTTTCTGTAGGGACCAGTACTGAACCCATGTAAGTACCTCAGCGCGCAACACGTGTTACGCGTGTTACGCATGTAACACGTGTTATGGTGTAACACGTGTTATGCATGTAACGTGTATTATATGTATCACCCGTGTTATACTTCAGGATCAATGTTCTGAGGTGTGGCTCCCCTATGTGATTGTCTAATTCGAAGAAGGCCGGAGTCATATGAGGCAAAAAGGACAACGAACGATTTTGTTGGATCGGATTGCAATCTGGCAAGTAGCCTATCTGCTGCTGTCACCTCCTGATGTGATACTTGAGAGATGGTACCGTCTGGCTTCACCAAAGACAAGACCACTCCTTGATGCAGACTCTTCCTTAGAGATTCGATTTGTTTCGAAGTTAGAGATGAGCCTGTCCGTTCATAAAGTAAAGTCTTAACAACACTTGGCGAGAGATGGTTCTTTAGGCATTGTTCCGCTAGTGTGATAGTTAGTCGTACAGCACCCTCCGGAGTTTTGTTCAATTTCTCCGGTGGGGGGCTTACACTAGGCCCATCCTAAGTGGGCGCCCTCGTGCGCCTGAGGAATATGGGTTCGTCACGGCACCGTTCAGCGGATCGTCTGACGAGGTGTAGCCTTTAAAATAAAACTTCGTTATTTTTTTTCATCAGTCAGTGAGGGTGCTACATTCACAATGATTGAAGCAGGAGTCCATTCTTCATCATTGATATTGTATCTAGCAACATGGGAAAGTTCAGATAGGTAAGAGTCCATTTTACTTGATAAGCTGTCAGGTATTATGGCATGCAACAGTGCATTTTCCTCTCTGCCTCCCAAACACCTAGCAAAACACCTGGCAAAAAAACTTAGCAAAAATTCGTCACTATGTATTATACGTACAACACGTACAACACATAATACATGTAATACGTATAATATTTTTCCACTTGTGTTACTTGTGTTGTACGTATGACTTGTCTAATACATATTAAAAAGGTTATATGTGTAATACGTATGATCTGTAGAATACATAGTGAAAATGTTATACGTATAATACAACCGCGTGCGTTTCAGGGGCTCTCATGCAGGATTCGTGTTCCTTCTGGCGAATACGCAGAACACGAAAGAAAACTCAATGCATGTTTCAACTGTCACCTTTACTTATGCCTATGCAGGAAGCGATTTTACTGGTTAATAGAAGATATAAGGTCGCTAGTTCGATTCCTGCATAGCAAGCTTTTTGCACCCGTAGTATCTTTTACTATACATTTTGCTGTATGAATCTACCTACATGTGCAGTCACGCATTCTCATTTGGTGTCATTAGTCAAGCTAAGTAATTCGAATCCTGCATATCAACGCTTTTACACAATATAATGTACTAGTGTACTAGCAGCATCATTTAGAGTAAATGTCATTTTAAGACCTAGGGAAGATTAAGACTATCGAATTTTCTGGGAGGCCACCTTAAGACTATAATATTATTATATGGTACTACCTTAAGATCCAGGTGCTGCTGCTGCTGCTGCTACTGCTGCTGGAGCTGCTGCTGCTGCTGCTGGAACTGCTTTGGGTTTCAGCTGCACCTGGAGCACATTAGGCCTGGACGCCATTCTGTCCTCCAGTTCGATTACCAGCGATGCTTTCGCCACTTTCCCATCAGCTTTGGACCCAAAATACATTGTTAGTAGCGACACGATCTCTGTCTTGGTCAATGAAGCAGCAACCTGCTTCAGTTTGAGCTTCTGCCATGCCTTTGGTGCAAGGGTGCAGAGGTCTTCGGAAGCCTTCC